AGAAGTTGACTTGGAATATCCAAATTCATTACATAAAGAACATAACAGTTATCCGCTAGCTCCCGAAAGATTAATGGTGAATAAAGATTGGATACCCATCAACACTCCTTGATGGGTAATACTAGGTAAGCTAACGTAGAAAAACTTGTACCAAATTTGATGGATAAGACAAAATATATAGTTCACTACAGAAATCTCCAGTTATATCTATCGTTAGTTATGAAACTAAAGAAAATACATGGAGTTCTGAAGTTTGATCAAAGCACTTGGATGGAGCCCTATATAAGGCTGAACACAGATTTAAGAAAGATAGCTACCAGCGATTTTGAAAAGAACCTATATAAGCTCATGAATAACTCAGTATTTGGTAAAACTATGGAGAATCTAAGGAAGCGTGTGGATGTTAAATTGGTCAGATCTATTGAGGAAGAAAGACTCAGGAAACTTATAGCCAGTCCGGCTTTTAACAGAAGCAAGATATTTGATAACGACTTAGCCGCACTACATATGCAGAAGAGTAATATAAAATTCAACAGATCGGTGTACGTTGGTATGAGTATTGTCGACTTGTCAAAACACTTAATGTATGACTTTTATTACAACGAACTTAAGAAGCAATACGGTGATAGATGCGAGGTGTTATATACCGACACAGATTCTTTGTTGATGGAAATACAAACCGAGGATATGTATAAAGATATGGCAGAAAAAATAGATATGTATACCCAAAAGATAATCCACTGCACAGAGTTGTAAATAAAAAGGTGTTAGGTAAGATGAAGGATGAATGTGCTGGAACTCCTATAGCGGAGTACGTCGGATTAAGACCTAAGATGTATTCTATAAAGAAGTCTGATAATGGAGAGATAAGAAAAGCTAAGGCCATTAAGAAGTATGTGGTAAAAAAGCATATCAAACACAACAGTATAAAGAAGCATTATTCAACGGTAGAACATTCCAACACGAGATGAACTCTTTGAGAAGTGTCAATCATAGGATATATGGATTAGGAATGAACAAGACATCATTATCCCCCTTAGATACAAAGAAATGGATTGATAAGAATGGTGTAACTACCTACGCTTTTGGTTATGGTGGTGATACTGTATCGTTGGGAACTATGAGCAACTCTTCTGGTACAAATGCCCTGCCCGGTCCATCTTTAAGATAATAAAGAATAGGCTCTCCTTCTTTAATAACCAACCGACTAATGTTATATGTCTTAAGGGACCAAATCGGATCGGTTGCATGACGTTGGCCTCCTTCGAGTTCACCGGGCTGGTATAAATATCTTACGCTTACTCTATCCGGAAGTTTTTGTTCTTTGCCTCTCCTAGGTGCTGAAGATTCGGAAGCAACAGATTTCATTTTAATTGCATCGGATGGTTTCTTCCCGATTAATCTCGTTACTTCATTATTCAGCGCTGATATAACAGCTGATAATCGTGTCACCCATTCGTTGATCTTAATCGTTCCAATTTCATTTCGATCCCATACTGATAGCCAAACAAACGTTCCGCTAATGTCCGGTTAAATCTTTCAACGATAGCTTGACTACGGTGGGCCTCTTTTTCACCACGCCTGATTTCAACATCGTGCTTTGTTAACAGTTTAGTTACTGATCCCATAAACTCGCGACCAGGATCTACTTAAAAAAGCCTAGGCCATTTTAGTGGTCCGCGTTTATATATGCGACTCAGTGCATCAGCTGTTTCTGTTGAATCTTTCGAGGTCTTTGTATCGACTAGCCACATCCACTACGGTTAAAGCGTATTTATACGTTTTGCCTCTTACCTTATCATGTGGAAGAAACAAGAGGTCAGCCTGATGAACTTCATTTGTTGTAAAAATATCAAACTTCTTCCTCGGTATATAACGCGGTGCCGGTAAGTATATTTGCCACATCGCTTGTTTATTTAACCAATCCTTGGCCACATCTTTAGATACCTTATTCATTATTAATTAATATTGATGTTTCTTTTAATACGACTTATGACGATCGTTGAATCGCATCATCGTTTTGACATAAAAAAAAATCCCCTGTAGTGGTGGTATAGGTATATAAATCTTGCTCCAGTGGAAGTGGTCCAGAACCATCATTACCTATGCTACTGAAAGTACTCCAATTCAAAGAAAGATAGACTCGGAAACTTGGACATTTCTGCCATAGAATAGACAGAATCTATGTATCTATGAATGAACACGATCTTCTAAATATATTATCGTGACATTTAAGCTGTTGACATCCAATCTATCTCTTTTAGTATTTACATCCCTACTTGATAAATATTGTTAATCTCCAGCAGAGACCATATATAGTCTCTGTCTCCAGGCACAGATCCTTCGAATGTGCTTGAACACACAGTGCTGATCAGTCGACCACTATTTTCTTATTCTTAACTATATATACGACCGATCGGGATGACACCATTGGGGACACTTCATGGGAGTTAGCGGGCCAATCCAATGTCCGTAATCGTTCTCGTTTCAGATCATCGATGACGACCTGGGCTCAGTGTGGTCTGGCATTGTCATCTTGTAGTGCAGTGAAGTTCATTTATTCAAACTATACATGTACATATGAAGTTTTAGATTTAGTCAGATACATATACAGCAGGTCGGTAAATACTCGGAGGTTTCCTGGTATAGTCCTTCCGGGGAACGTTTCATTTCTTTGTATTTGTATACAAGAGCCATTCCAAATATCCACAAATAAATGCAAAAGCACTATACTCAGCAAATATCGGCCTTTAACTCGCCGCTACTCGCTAGTGTTTTAACAGCTGTCATGTTATGTATACTAGCAGGTTCCCATAAGGCTGGTCACAAAATGCATGTGTCTCTCCCTCAAGCTGTGTTTTAGTATGTGGAAATTGATCTCATTAAGGCGACTGAAATATGTTTACCATCGAGTCTCCCCAAGGCATGTTCTCGTGAATGAAGCGTTTTCCCGGAGAACAGTAGGCCAGTGGTTCAATCTCCGTCGATCATGCCAAAGGACTTTAGAATGAAATAATACTTGTTGTTAGCCTATCTGGCATTGAGGGGATTCAACCAGGACAGCTCGGCTCGGACTCCGTATAATGTGTCTGAGTGGGATAAACATGGTAAACTGTGGCATTTTTATCAGTGGGCTAGAACAACAAAACCGGTGTCCGTCCTGACTAGTAGAAGCAGTCACAGACGCAGGCACCCACGCACGCACCCACGCACGTGCATACACGTCGCTATAAATGCAATAATCCGAACACGACGTTAAACCACATTTCACCTCACCTCACCTCACCTCACCTCACCTCACCTCACCTCACCTCACCCTGTGACAGGTTTTAAAAAACGATACAGTTGCCATCGGTATCCTTAAGGCTGATCTTGACATATACTCTTATAAAAAGTAGGGAGTACTCAGAAATAACTTAAATAAGTAAGAACTATTAGTTTCTAGTTATAGTTGTATGATAATAATAAAGGAATTAGGAACACATTACAATCGGTAGTGAAGTAGGACAGTACATGTTTTGACCGTCAACAATCTTGAAGGACGATGGGGTTAGTATGTGACGTTTTTGGATCAGTAGTGAGTAATACCGCCACGATTTGTCAAACATTCATTCACTGGACGAGGCAAACTGCGTATGAGTCTCCCAATGGCGATTGGGGGAGTCTGTCCAACTCACTCCTCTTGCAGCGCGTGGCCAAGTTCAGTCAACGGCCTATGACGTTGACGCACGACGTCTCCCTATCATGTCCCAGACGTGTTCAATGGAGGAAATGTCTGGGCTCATTGCTGGTCAGGCATTCTATGGCTGTTGTTTGTTTGTTTGTTAAACGTCGCATTCCGCGATATTACAGCTATATGACGACGGTCTGTAAATACTAGTAATCGAGTCTGAACCAGACAATCCAGTGATTGACATCATAAGCATCGATCCATGCAATTGGGACACGACGCCATGCATCAAACCAAGTCAGCGACCCTGACCACCCGATCCCGTTAGTCGCCTCTTACGACAAGCGTAGCCTGTTAGTATTTACTCAGTGTGATCAGTAATCACAGACTGTGAAACATTGAATGTATTGGCCACTGCAGTGTGACTTCTGCCAGTTTCCCGCATGTCAAAAGCCCATAGACGCTCCGCACGCCGCATCGATAGTTCATACACAAACAATGAATGAAATAAAGTAAATCACAGCTGTTTGAATGGAAAGAATCAATACGATTGACAGAAATAATGATCCACAGAGATCAATCAACCTTCCTTGATAGTGTCAAAACCAGGAATGTCACCCTACGCACATGTGTGGCGCTACTGTCGGAGTCCCCTGCAAACTATCGGATCTGTTTGGGGTGAAATTTCATAGCCATAGACGTTCTTTCATAGGATGTTTGTCGTTAACACTTATCTTTGTTGTAATACCTGATACCAACATTTATATTTCATGATCCCCTACTTTTAATGAGTGTGTGTATACCGTCAGGCCTCCAAATGTTTGTTCTACATGTATATATATATATAGATCTCGTCTCCAAAGATAAGTTTTAAATATATGCCATTTTTTCTCATTGTCCGACCTAGAGCATTTTCTTTTGATCATATTTCAACTAAATACGAGCAAGTGTTATATTTCCAGGTGAATTCTTAAACTACTCAGTACGGGCATCTTATACTATTATAGCAACAAACGATAGCATTTGTTGTCATAATTACACACTTTAAGAAATTGAACTAGGTTTTAAAGGATAGTTTTGTGCGAAATATTAAGCACAACTGATTCCGTTTCGTAATTTATCTCTAAATATTGTCGTCCTAACTTTTAACCTGACACTCAGATCATCAGTTAAATGTTGTTAAGCGAGCAGTGGTGATTTGGGGCGATGTCGTTTCGGCAGTACACACTGAACCTACCTGTGGCGAATACCCATATACAAACAATCCCATTTGAAGGAGACCTCGCCCTACCTGTTCTATAAATACACTCAGCCTTTCACCACCGGTTCTACAAGAGTTGTTCAACTATGCGTGACAGGATCGTCGACATACCTTAAGACAACAGACCAGAGCGGACACGGAACGGGCAGGGTCATACGAAATTCGTGTGAAACTAAAAACAGCTAAACCATGAGGGAGCGGGGATGTAGTAAAGTTGAAGTATGTCTTACAACGGCAAATATTATTGGAGTTATAGCTATAGTTATGATAGCTGCCGTCATCGGCACTGACAGATGGGTGATGTGGACTGTGGACAGGACTAAACTAACTGCAGTCCAGCGAGGAGATACTACCAGCGCCCGTTTCTACCACACCCGACATCGGGGAATGTTTCGAGAGTGTTATCCTGGCAACGACACTTCATGTGAGTAACTTAGCTGGTCATATACATTTCACAACCACAATCGACCGGGCAACATGGTGGCCATGTCACAATCACAGGTTGTCAGACGTACTGGCCGCCATTTTGGATCACACGACTACGTTCGCTACCATAATCTTATATACTAGGTAATGTCACAGAGGCAGTTGTGGTCAATATGGTGGCATACTGGATACATTGGGCTCTCTAACTACGTTACTACATTTGCATTAGACATAAGTTGACAGCAGTAACGCGTTTCTCCCCAACCCTCTGTTACAACTTCGGTCTGCAGGGGAGGGTCCGCGATGTTTCGTGGGATCAGGTGACAGACCAAGCGTACATTTTCGATGGTTTGTTTTCACTATTTGATAGTGATTCATAAACACATGCTTCTGATATATTGTCGGAATCGTACAATGGAGATTTCTTATATATAAGGAAAGTGGTTTTCTTTTTAGCTTTTATTTTCACGAGAACTACAATATTCCAACTACGTCACGTCGATACAATCAGTAATGCAACGATGAGAAAATAAATACACTAATACTAATTTTACGAGACAACTTTTTAAATGATAACTTCGGTCTCAGCTTATGCAACGTTTGAAAAGAATGTATACCAAATTTGATATAGCGACTGTTGTGGGCCACCGACGGATAAAACAGAATCGGCACACTGTTTGATGAAAACAGCCAAGACAAAGAAAAAACACAAAACATTATATATCTTATTCGGCACACTTTTTAGAATTATATATTTGGTGAACGAAACAAAATACTTTTTATCTACATTACAAAATCGGAGTAATTTGAAATGACATATAACCTTTCGGACGTTATTGAAAACATGGTTGTTCTTAGAATGTCAACTGAAGTTTTAATTGAATAGAACTTGTTTATTTAGTTGGCCGGCGTTGACTCACTGCTTCATTGTCTGCTATTTAGACACGCCCTGGGATAAATAGGACAACGCAGGAGGAAGCGTCAGAAGATTTTGTATCACAACCGTTTTTATTATTTTTTAGCTGCATAAATATGCATGCAGTGGCATATTCTACCGGACTCTACGTCTTGTCCTACCTTCATAGAGAAAGAGTTATTGTAGATTCACGGAAAGGGTGTGAAAATAATAGTTGTTATGTTTCGCCACGGGTCACTTATTTACACGTCACTTGGTTTCCCAAGGGCGTAAGCTTACCCAGCACGGTGAAAGGAATAATGCCTGAGTGATTTCGCATGCTTGTTGATGTCTGTGAAAAGTGATCCGGCCAACTTGGGGATCACGCAGCCCAGTTTTGTGGGCAAGGGTGTCTGCATGTCAAAACATCTACAGCTTAAAACAGGAAATTAAAAATAGTCCTGTGCACAACTAATCCCATGCCTGTAACGTAATACACTGAACTTGGATCAGTATTGCCGCCGAGCTGATACACTTCAAACGGATACAATTCTTTCAACATTCTTGTTGCACATATAGCTAGAGCATCTAGTGCTCTTGAACGACTGCGATCTGTAACATTTCTAAAAGCGACCATGTTGACACCTATATTCTGGCCTTCAACTCACTTTTAATTTGTTACCTCAATGTGTTTAATCTCTTATTGTATTTTTCTTAATCTTATAACCTTAACCATGTATGTTTTCACTTGATTAACCCAAACCTGGAGTATGTAGTACATATAGTATAGTATGTGAGTTAAGCTTCCGCTGTGCCATTAAAACAGTTGAGAAAGTCCCTTTATTCCCTTACGGTAGAATTGAACAAGGGAGATAGTTCTATAGATACTAACAATGAAACGTCGCATTCATTGTAATAAAGAAGTTGTATATCCATAGAACTATCACCCTTGTTCACCTTATCAACTTCTAAATGCAACTTAAAGATGTTAGGATTGCAGCAGTTTGGGGAGATTACCTTAATGAGCCAGCTGATCGCGTGTTCCTGTATTCATCAATGAACACCGCTTTAACTAACAAGATTACAATCATTTCTTTACTTCACTGAGTTTATTTAATTATTTTATTTAATATTAAGTAACACTTACGGATATTGTGACATAAAATGTATGGGTTAATGAATGTATCATTCATTCATCAATTTCCTGGTTTCCTTTAGATGGTCTTATTGCTACACATATTAGCACCAGAATAGGTTCACCTAAAGCAAACAAAGACGTAGATTAAGTTAAATTAAATGAATAAATGCATTATTGCGTGAAACAAAATTAATAAATAGGTTATTGTGTGAAATGATATTACATCTATACTATCTATATTTGTGTGTGTGATATGATGCGAATACACTCATCTTTCGAACCTGAGAATCTTGGACTCTTTTCCCAAGGGTAACAAAAAGTGACGCCTTTTGATCTTGGGGATTATCTCGCTTCACTGGCCTGGGGCCTTGAAACAATAGGTGCTGGGTAAGTGAGTAGAGCCGGCTCAACACTCTGTTGACGCATTGCAAGATGTCCGAAAGGCAAATACACATTGCCCGGTATTTGGAAAAGTAAGAAAAACGTATAACAGCCTCCATTTATAGCCCTATATAAGGTAAAGGGCTCTGACATTTATGACAGTGAATGCTGTTTCTATTGCCTTGAATGGTGATTTAATGAGGTAGCTTTATATACCTGAGTGCCGCTTTTAGCCCAAACATTAAAGTTCATGTCACTAACATGAATGTCATGTAAATTAAAGTGTACTTTTATCCCTTGACCGGGGTAACATTGAAGTCAGGCTAAGAGCATTAACTTACTGAATGAAATCTGTCGCTTTATTATTATTATTATTGTTATTATTTACAGATTAAAATAAAAGGTACCACATGTAGTCTTAACAATTAGCTCATAACGCTTATAGACTAAATCTTGGGAATGAAGGCAGGCGTATATCAACACCGACTGATAATAACTTTGGACGGAACATGCATGTAGTCTTAACGCTTAATACATAATGCCTTTCGACTACACAATGTAGTCTTAACGCTTAATACATAGTGCTTATCAACCCAACCTTGTGAATGAAGGCCGGTGTATTTCAAAACCGACTGATAGTTAATTGTAGTACACAAATTATTAAGTAACATACACAAAATATGATGTTTAGTCTTATTTTATAAAGTCAAAATTATTTACAAAAAATAGAAGAAAATATGATGTATTTTGGGACTATGACACATATATACCGTTGTACTTGAAGCTTCATTACCGTAACACTTGTTGGGCCATATATCATATATCTGAGATATATGAGGTTTTATGCCCTTTCTTCTATGAATTAATGCATTTAGACAGTTTTTAATCCAATATGGCCCCCCCAAACGACGCTATTTTTGCCAAGAAACTAAGAACTCGGCCTCTATTGATGATGCATCGTGCCAATTTGCAATCCTTTCTTTGAAGAAAATGGACAGATACGTCTTTTTGCCAAATAGTCAAATTAGAAACTACTAGAATGCAATATGGTCGCTAATGTACATTTTGACATGCAGCAAAGAATAAACAAAATGTCCATCATATTGCCATTTTTCAATCTTTTCTTTGCAAAACCAATAAAGATCCGATTTCTTAAAGCAAACTTTAAGAGAAACTTTTATTTGAAGTAAACTCCAATATGGCGGCATCCCAGTCTATATATGTAAAGGCGGTTAAAGATTTTTTTACATGGGAAGTATGGAGACTATGTCTGCAACTTTGAAATTACTGCAGCTGCTTGATTTAGAGGAAATGATTGCAGTAGAATCCTAACCTACAAAAGCGTCAACATGAACATGTTGAATCCAATATGGCCGCCACATGATGTGACTTTTGACATTTGCCCAAGAAGGGCAAGATCTAAAAATGGCGTCAATCGAAGACATATCCCAACATGTTTAATGTAGAGTTTGGCAGTATGTAGAGTTTGGAAGCGTTTGGTCTTGTAGTTTGATCGGATCTGATTTTGGCAGACGACAACTGAGAAAAATGATAAAAGGCATGGCCAAAACCTTCAATCCAGTATGACAACCAAACGATGCCATTTAGCGACATGGGGCACATGTGCGTCATGTTCATCTCTGAACCTACCTGTTTAAATACATGCAAAATATCTGAATATGAATTCCATATGTCCTATACGAAATTATGATCTGCATGTTGACAGGATTTTATTTTAGATTTGCTTAGACTTTTCACATATTATTTTCGTTACCTATCTGATTGTATTACACAGAAAAGATTAAAACCCAATTCATTTGTTCGCAATGTATATAGGCAGAATATACATGATAAGTTGATAAGAGACTAGCCACCAAGCTACGGTGTATTGCAGAGTGAATGTATTTTCCGGAATTGACTTGTATTCAACGCTTTCTTTCTATCGCGTCGATTTAAATGTATGTGGGAGGACAGGCCTAAGCGATTTTGCACAATACTCCTGTCATCTTGATAATATTATTATATTATGCATTTATATTATGATTTTTCTCATGCTACCGTTTGTTGGTCTTTCTGATAAATAAACTGAACTTGAACTTGATGCAGGTGCAGGTGCACGTGTAACGAATAACTGTGTCATGGGCAAGGGGCAAAACACTTAACAATGAATTGCACTGCTTACGTGACAAGGTGACTCGTGAAGACCCGGGTAGAGAATAGGTCTTCAGCCACCCATGCTTGACGTAGCAGGCGACTAACGGGATCGTTGGTCAGGCTCGCTGACTCGGTTGATGCATGTCATCGTATCCGAGCTGCGTAGATCGATGCTCATGATGTCAATCACTGGATTGTCTGGTCCAGACTCGATTATTTACGGACCGCCGTAACATAGCTGGAATATTGCTGAGTGCCGCGTTAAACATCACACATCATCAGGTTATTCCTATCCCCATGAATGGTTTAAGGGATTTACAACGTTCCTTCTTGAGGGGCGGATTAGCGTGTTGTTGGTCCAAACAAATTTGTTTGGGTCCTCCTCTAGGAGAAACACATTGGATATCTTGAAGCGTATGTCATATGTTGTTCTCAACAATGCACCATATTGTATATCATATTGATAAAACTGGTCACTCAGAATTAGAATAGGTAAATTACACATCTTCACCCAAATGCATCCTTTGAGGTCATTTCTTAGAAATCGCGCCAGTGATCGTGAAATGTAAGAGGACGATTCATTGAAAGTACACGTTTGAAAAGTCACGTACTATGCACATCTTACCTTCGAAGGTTTGTTGCGAATCGGATGAGCAAACAGTCACAAATCTCTGTATGATTCTCTTTATATGAACTGTCACTAAAATACATCTACAGTGTTGTTGCATCAGTGAACCTGATCAGACTAGAATGGGCGACCGCCACCGAAACAAATTTAACAGGTTGACTTAATTCTTTGTCAGGACCGACACAGTACAGCAAATAATCGTTCTGTTAGCGTTCTTTTGGCAAGAACAAATATTCGAATGAAAAAAATGATTTTCACACATAACTACAATTCGTACTCCGAATGCGAGTGGCCAGGCTCGAAGACCGTCGGATAACAGGATGCAACCACTATTTGACAACTGTAACTCTTGACATTATGAATAGTTGGATTTTTTAGACATGCTGATGGATCCGGCGGAGAGTCTGCAGAATTTCATGTTGACGAGCACTCTCTGTAAGAATGATATGCGTGTATTAATTTGAAACTTGCATTGACTAGCAATTATTTCTATAGATCTACTTGACTGAAACATTGGCTATTTGCAGCAATTGATGTCACACTGCTTCACCATTGAGAACAATACGACGTAATGTTTTTATTATGTTAGAAATCTGATACATTACGTCATCATAACACTAGACGGATTTAATTGATGTTTCAGGGATTTATTCGCCCTTTCTTAAATTGACAATATATTGCGTATAAACTACCCCACTTGAGACACATGATTGTTTTTTATCTGTCCCTCATGATTCAATGTTGTGGATACTGTGTGTTCAGTATATGTATGCGTTGAGTTCACTCTTTGAAATTAAATGTTGAAACTTTAAAGAAAACGTGATTTAGCATCTAATGTGTTATACCCCTCTCATTTCTACTTTCCTGTTTAGTTTTAGACAATTCAAATGATGTCATTGACAAGAACTGCTTCCAACTGAATTTCGTTGACAACATAGATGGGTCAAGCGCCGAGTACCAACTCATGATAGGTGAGTTATCTACCTCTTCTGTTGCTTTCTGTAAACACGTGTATGTATTATGTAAGAAAATATATTAACTTTAGAATGTATAAGTCATGGTCCAGTATACCCTACAAATACGCTTCAGTGTATGACTAATGGTCCAGTTAACGCTACAGATACGCTTCAATGTATGACCAATGGTCCAGTATACGCTACAGATACTCTTCGATGTATGATTAGTGGTCAAGTACAGGCTCCAAATAGGCAATGTATGACTAATTGTCCAGTATATGCTACAAACACTCTTCAGTGTATGACAAATGGTCCAGTATACGTTACAGATACGCTTCAGTGTATGTCTAATCGTCCAGTTTACGCTACAGATACGCTTCAGTGTATGACAAATGGTCCATTTTACGCTACAAATACGCTTCAGTGTATGACAAATGGTCCAGTATACGTTACAGATACGCTTCAGTGTATGACTAATGGTCCAGTTTACGCTACAGATACGCTTCAGTGTATGACAAATGGTCCGTTTTACGCGACAAATACGCTTCAGTGTATGACTAATGGTCCATTTTACGCTACAGATACGCTTCAGTGTATGACTAATGGTCCAGTATACGCTACAGATACGCTTCAGTGTATGACTGATGGTTCAGTGTACGCTACAGATACGCTTCAGTGTATGACTAATGGTCCAGTATACGCTACAGATACGCTTCAGTGTATGACTAATGGTTCAGTGTACGCTATAGATACGCTTCAGTGTATGACTAATGGTCCAGTATACGCTACAGATACGCTTCAGTGTATGACTAATGGTTCAGTGAACGCTATAGATACGCTTCAGTGTATGCCTAATTGTTCAGTGTACGCTACAGATACGCTTCAGTGTATGACTAATGGTTCAGTGTATGCTACAGATACGCTTCAGTGTATGACTAATGGTCCAGTATACGTTACAGATACGCTTTAGTGTGTGACTTATGGTCCAGTATACGCTACAGATACGCTTCAGTGTATGACTAATGGTTCAGTGTACGCTACAGATACGCTTCAGTGTATGACTAATGGTCCAGTATACGCTACAGATACGCTTCAGTGTATGACTAATGGTCCAGTATACGCTACAGATATGCTTCAGTGTATGACTTATGGTCCAGTATACGCTACAGATACGCTTAAGTGTATGACTAATGGTCCAGTATACGCTACAGATACGCTTCAGTGTATGACTAATGGTTCAGTGTACGCTATAGATACGCTTCAGTGTATGACTAATGGTTCAGTGTACGCTATAGATACGCTTCAGTGTATGACTAATGGTCCAGTATATGCTACAGATACGCTTCAGTGTATGTCTAATCATCCAGGATATGCTTCAGTGTATGACTAATGGTCCAGTTTACGTTACAAATATGCTTTAGTAATGACTTACATTGGTTCAACATACTGAAAAGAAACGCTTCAATGTAAGACTGTCAGTACCCTATGACTACATAGACGAGCGCCTTCGTCTGTACAGGCAAGTAAGCCAAAATATACATTGAAAATCTATCTGTATTTAAGTACTTCAAGTATTTATCCATGTCATTATGAACAATAGTTAGATGATATTATCATGATAGGTTTTCCTCTCCTTCCCCTCTCGTTAGCCTCTGGATTTACAGGTACGATAAGGTGAAACTAGGCAAACTGGTATGAAGAGGACTGTTAATACTTAAAGCATCTTAAAAAATCAAACTTTTAGCGTTTTGACAGAATTCCGACGTTGAAGAAATTATTATCGTCAATTGTGTCGCCTAAAGGAGGAAACGTATGAGGGAGATAAGTAAATAGGATATCACGAGTTTGAGGTACTATTTTGAGTAGAGTTTGAAAAATATTGATCAGGATCACTATGGAGAGTCGGATCATTATATACAAGATCATAATGAGGACATTATCCGTGCCAGGACGAAGATGTCAAATCTATCTTGAACTGTGAACTATTTAATACTGAAATTGTGGATGCTATTGCTCATCTGGGAGAGGGCAGAATGCCAGTGCCTGCTGCAGTAACACCAGAGATATATAAGTGTTGTCAAACTGAAGTTTTACCATTTCGCAATGTTTTGTTCACATTATTTTTGAATATGATCCTTGGGCGAAATGATTACTTCTACTATAACATAGAAATGGCAAGAAATCATATGTCAATAATTGTAGAAGTAGTTGTGAGTAAAATATTACTGATATATTGAATAGATTAATTATTTTATGCGATGAATATTAAAATAACATGTTACTTTTAGATAAGAATATTTTGATGGTACACTTGGTAGCACTGAAAGAGTAATGAATGGAAACGAACATACAAAATATCTTTGGGTTGCTGTTCTCATATAGATTGAATTGGTTAAAGGGAATTACTATTCTTGTTTATAAAGCTTAAGTTTCTGTCAAACAGTTACATATCAGGTTAAAATATATTTTACCTTCTGTTTAATTAAGATATTTGATACCCAAATTAAGCCAATATTATACATGTTACGTGTGGGGACATTCTAAAACTGACTATATCGAGTGGTTTCATGTAAAGTTTTGTAAGTACGCAATTGGTGTGGGTAATCATGTGTCTAAAGTTGTTGTGCGGTTTATTTACTATCACAAGAGATGTATTAACTATTTGTTGAAATTGTCATCAATGTCAAATGACAGATATTACCAAAGCAATGGTATATTTTATGTAAATCTCTAGACTAGTGTAATCGTGTAACATGGGCATCAAACGTAAAATAAAGATTATTGTTCACTTACATTAATGTTAATGATTATGTTAATGTTATGTTAACCAATTATGTACCACTAATATATGTTGGCCTTTTGTGCTGTCAATTTGCATAAATGTCACATTACGGTATGTAACGTTTTCTTGTCACCGAAACATCAGTCTACTAGAATTGTCCATGCAGTTAACCGTGTTGAGGAAGTGGATGTTTGCTTTGTAAAATCATTTAATCAAAAACTTTTTTAAATGTGATGCATCATGATGCAATTAACCAAATTTCGGGGTTAGGTATGGAGCCTTTGTTGCGTAGAGCACACATTACTACCCTGTTTTGATGCAATATGTTCGGTACTGGCATTATACATATACGTCCAACGTAGCTTTGATGTCATTCTCGTTTCAGGACTGTACACTTCTTTCATGGCCTTGTTCGTGGTGGCAGAGATTGTATTTGTTGTGGCATACATCTTGGGGTTGTGTCTCTGTGTCAGAAGATTACATTCACAGGCATGCTATGCCTCCATTTTCTGCTTTATAGCCGGTACGTATGTGACATCCATAAAATCAAGTAAAGTCTTGAAAATGGAATTGAAATCAGTGAATAGGCGAAAAAGACGGTCTGTATGGAATTACATGACATCTTTGTGATGACATGACAATGTCTGTGTGATGACACGATAAAGTCTGTTTGATGACATGACAGTCTCTGTGTGATGACATGACAGTCTGTGTGTGATGACATGACAATGTCTGTGATGACATTACTGTGTCTGTGTGATGACACGATAAAGTCTGTGTGATGACATGGCAGTGTCTGTGTGATGACACGATAAAGTCTGTGTGATGACATGGCAGTGTCTGTGTGATGACACGGCAGTGTCTGTGTGATGACACGATAAAGTCTGTGATGACATGACAATGTCTGTGATGACATGACAATGTCTGTGTGATGACATGACAATGTCTGTGTGATGACACGATAAAGTCTGTGTGATGACATGGCAGTGTCTGTGTGATGACACGGCAGTGTCTGTGTGATGACACGATAAAGTCTGTGATGACATGAAAATGTCTGTGATGACATGACAATGTCTGTGTGATGACATGACAATGTATGTGTGATGACATGACAATGTCTGTGTGATGACATGACAATGTATGTGATGACATGACAATGTCTGTGATGACATGACAATGTCTGTGTGATGACATGAAAATGTATGTGATGACATGAAAAATGTCTGTGTGATGACATGACAATGTTTGTGTGATGACATGACAATGTCTGTGATGACATGACAATGTCTGTATGATGAAATGACAGTCACTGTGTGATGACATGACAATGTGTATGTGATAACATGACAATGTCTATGTGATGACATGACAGTGCAAGTGTGATGGTGATGAAGGTGATGACATGACAGTATATGTGTGTGATGGCATGCGAGTGTGTGTGTGTGTGTGTGTGTGTGTGTGTGTGTGTGTGTGTGTTTGTGAGAGAGAGAGAGAGAAAGAGAGAGAACGAAAACTCATCAACATTTAGTACTTCGTAATTAAACAAAATGTGTTTTTTTTCCCGTTTCCTTCGGTCAGCATTCATACTGGCCCTGGGGATGGCCCTGTTCCATGCCTCAATATACGTGCAGAGGGAACAAGTGAGGGACGTGCTAACAGACCGACAGAAATATTATCAAATGTGGCCAAACGTAAGTAGTGCGCTCTTTATATTAACATTTAATAACAACGTCTTTCCAGATATATTTTGCGTATTGGATTATTTGTGACCATGCTATTGTTGTTAACTTTCAATGTTATCAGTCTATCTTCGAACCTTTGTTGAAACAAATTCATGAAACCGATAGGTTATGTCAATTCAGTTGTCACTGTTAGTTTCGACACATTTTATGAAATGATAGACTTATTTGTCGGCTTTTCGGACTTAAAGTTACAAAGCCCGTACACTTATGTTTTCTGTCTAGAAATACCTGTATTGTAGAGGCTATCCTGTTGCTAAGCGTGATCAGTGTTGTGTCATCACTTCAGGAGCTGAAGCTGGCTACTGTGCGTGAATTCAAGGAATCCTACATCGTCGCATGGGTTGGATTAATCCTTGCCGCGATAACTGCTATCTGCTATGGTTTGGCTGCAAAGTTCCTGGCAGACAACAAACACAGACGACGTCCATACCCCGAGAAGGCGTATCGTGAGCCATATTTCTATGACAATCCTCAGTATGCTCTCGACCCATACCAACCCAAGGTTATTCCAGTGGAATACCCAACCTATGCCCCTCGCCCACAATACTATGACGCACCAAGACCCATAATGTATTCTGCTGATGGCTATCGAGAGGATATGCCTGGATATAGGATACGGGAACTGACACAATAGGCAGAGCACACATAAGCCATGCGATCTGTCTAAAAAAGTAAATTCCGAATTGCAATATAAACCAGATCATGCCAGTTAAAGATCTGTATTTTGTTGAACTAACATTAACAGCTGCCTCAACTGAACCAAGAAAATAACGTGCCTTTGTATAGATGTTTATGATAGATTCTCCACAGCTGGCATGCTTGTGCTGATCTTTTATCTTTCCAGATATTTTAAACATATAATGATAAACACATATTCTGCAAATAATACAATGGATATTGAAAGGCAAAGATTACTACCCCGACCTTCAGCTGGACACTCATATAGTCACTATACAAAACTCCTTCTGTTTTATTCTTACTGTGTAACCAAAATCTCGTTTTCCCTAATATTATAATACTCCCATCAAAACAATTACCTTCTCATAAATTGAATATGGTTTCGTTGTGTATGCTAATTTTACAAAATGAAAAAAACGCATTATAATATTCTTGTCTTCGTGTCACTGAAACAGACATGTCCAAGGGGTGCACCGTATATTGTTTACATTTTGATGTATATATTTTTATAAAACTTCATTCAACTTGTTCGCGATAAGTCTTATTTGCTTTTTTTAACTATTGCAAACGAAAATAAAAATACGTTTGCATTCATTATGATATTACTCCAAAGCAGTTACATGTATCACAACATATTACAAACATAATCAGGTTAACTCTAGATAATTAATATATATCAAATAATATTATTCCTGGAGTTCAAGGGTCTCTCTGTCTTTGTAAAGTAATAGTGTGTCATAATTACAATTGTAATAATAAGTGCACCAAAACATAGTCCGTACAATGAAACATTAAATTTTATGTAACGCATTATGTAACAACAATATGTACAGGCTTTATGATTGGAATATACAAGATTTGTAGGGTAGTGTTGTCTAGGTGTCAGGTTAACTCGTCACGTGGAACATGGCACAAAACTCAAGTATGTTCGGTTGAATTCCAGCGATAAGCAATTTGTTTACAATCAGTAAAGATAACTATAAATTAATATGTCAATATCTGTTACGTTTCATTCAGAAAATATTGGTATTATGGTATGGAGTCATTTGTGACACTAATTTTGTTTGCATTGAAGAAGTTTAACAAAACTGGACATACTTGATCAAATTTGTCTTGAATTTGACTGATTTAACGCAAATTAATGAATAACTTTATACAAGCTTGCTACAATGTATTACTACTTTGACCATATATGAGTCAAACTAAATGGCATCAAACAGGAATAAAAGCAGATGTTAGTGAGAATGCATGTCACTGGAAATTTCTGAAAGTCTAAAGTTATCGTCTGTTACATGTTTGGCATGCTGGGGTTGATTCTGTTTCAACGAGATGCAAACATCTTTCAGTTCAACATGATTTTAATGGACAACGTCAGTTATTATTATTTGTGTCAGCCCTAGGATGAGATAGCTTTGAAATACAACAGAGAACGTATGTATTTAGGTATATTCAAACAGTCTTATGATCTGAGACGGAGATGCTTGTGATAAAGAAGGTATCTATCCACATGTCAGTTATATATTGAATCTAATCTCTCTATAACAAATGTGCGGCCAATGTGTAACAATATATTTTAGTTGCTTATAGCTTACGTGTTCCTGATGTGTATATATCGATTCAGAATAAACTGTTATTCATATTTTTAGAATCTCATCTTCTGTTCAGATATTTACCGCCTCAACAAATTCATCTTGTATTTGATTAACTGCGAATAGTCAGCGCGCTTTAAACTCATTTATTCGGACCGCCTCCGTGGTCCAGTGGTAGGGCGTCCGTCCGGAGAGCGGAAGGTTCAGGATTCGATTCACGGCCGCGTCATACCAAAAGACGTAGAAAAATGGTACTTGTTCTTACCCTTTCTGGCGCTCAGCATTAAGGGGCTAAAACAATGACTGGTCGGCTGGGAGTCGGTATAATGTGTCTGAGTGAGGTATTCATGTTAAACTGCGGCATGATATCTGAGCACTATAAATCGGTATCAGTTGGGACTAGTACAAGCAGCCACACACACATACGTGTATGCACGTCGCTATATATAGTCTTGGACGCGACGTTAAACACCATTTTACCACCTTTAAACTCATTAGGCAACAGTGAATTCTAAAGACAAGTTCTCATAGTCTATTCACCCTGTAAACAGGAAGGCGTCTTTTTGTTTCGTGTATTGGCATTGTACGAAAACACAACAATTGAGTGGTCCTGTGTGCAGCGCACATGTAACAAATCAGACGAAGTGAAACAACTATGATCAAGGAGAGTCCTTGGATGGGTGTCCTGCAGCGTGGCTGCTGAGAGTTTCTAGTGCTTTGGTCCTGCCCCACACTGAAGCACATGTACCACATATGGTGGCAAGGTACTTTCTTCGAAACATGCCATTGAATAGGTACCCGATACGATGAGATACTAATGTGACTAGCGCATCCCAAGGTGCCTGGGTGGTATACTTTCAAGGGATATAAGAATGACAATTTGAGTGCACACTGATTCATTGACAGGGGAAGTAATAATGTGTGTTTGTTTTAATAAATGCATTCTCGAGGGTCAATAAGAGACAAAAATAACTTTGCCTTTGATCTATCCATTTCATAAGCTCCCAGCTTTTTCCTCTTTCAAACTCCAAGTATGGATACATATAGCGTGTACTTTTGCAAAAAATGGTATTTATTTTTTCACTGTCTCCAATCCACCCGCTCCCTCTGAAGCTGAACATTGAGCTGAGAAAAACGCTAAATGATATGCATGACCTTTATCGGTATGTCTCGCCAAATAGTAGAACTGGGAGAAGCAGAGTGTTGACTTTGTTACATCCAGAGAGGTACGCTCCGACCCGTGAAGATCCGGTCTTCATAGAAGAATAGGTCTTCAGCAACCCATGCTGGCTGTTGAAGGCTACTATGCTAGTCGTAAGAGGCGACTAACGGGATCGGGTGGTCAGGCTCGCTGACTTGGTTGATGCATGTCATCGATCCCAATTGCGTGGATCGATGCTCATGATATTAATCACTGGATTGTCTGGTCCAGACTCGAATATTCACAGACCGCCGTCATATTGCTGAGTGCGGCGTTAAACAACAAACAAACAAACAAACAAACCAAGGTACGCTCCAGGTACACTTACAACATCACTTATACAACAAGAATAAGACTGGGAGATTCTAACAAAAGTGGTAAACATGCTTTCATCACAAACATATTGAGTTTCTAAATGTATTTGTATTGGCATTATTTTTGTGTTTTCGTTAAAAATAGCTTAAAGCAAAATAAACTTATAACATCCAAAATGAGAAGCAGAATCAACATGGAAAATGTGATTTTTTTATGATTTAATATATCCTTTTTATTGTGTTGAAACACAGAAATGAAAATATTTTATATAAAAAAACAAAAGAATAGCATGTTTTAGTCAGTGACAATTATTTTAAGTTGGTGTTGGCCCTTATAGGACCTATATTCTCACTAGGTGTCTGACAAATGGGGTATGATCGGGACTAATCCAGTTTTCCAACAGATTCGATTATTTACAGACCGCCGCCATATAGCTGGAATATTGCTGAGTGCGGCGTTTAACAACAAACAAACAAAACTTAGTAACAATCACTGAAAAGTGTGAGAGCTCAACCGTGGAATTTATTATTTTAAGATATATGACAAATGGTGTGAGAGCAAGCAGGTTGTCCACTAGTTTGTCATATAAACCGTGCAACAAAGATGTCCAATACAGCCAATGCATGTCTATAGTAGTTGGCAAGTCTACATCACTTTGAAAGGCATTTTGAAGTGATACACAAAAGAGAATTTTTGGATGTCAACTTCTTTATAATGAGGAACACAACGTTTCGGCATATATACTTACTCCTTCATCAGGTGAAAAAATGCTATGAATGCCTGATTTGGGAGTTTCTGAGTCTATCAATTTCGCAGTCGGGGTCAGGCGGTGGTTAATTTGGAAAGTAAGTAAGGGGCAATAGGACATAAAGCATCTGACCAAAAACAACAGTAAATTATGGGGATATATTTAATGAAATAAAAATGGTAGTAGTTCGGTTGATGAAGGGAGGTTCACTGCTTACTTACTTACTTATATTGGAGATTTTACGTGCGCTTTCCGACTGCAGCGTATTTCGCACGCGGGCCCGGCCAAGCCATTTAATGTGTTTCCGAAAAGGGGAAAAAGTTGTTTGGCAATCCAGTAGGGGTGTTTTAGTGGTTGCTTATATAGAATTTTGGAAATTTTGAAATTTTGAAAAAATGCCAAGAGGGTTTGGGGGACGAACTAAGGGACCTTAGTATGGAAGTTTGTTAGTTTGATTATGTGGTCTGGTTTTGGTAGTTTATTGGGGTTTTAAATGCGATTTATTAGTCCTGTTTTGATTAAGAATACGCCTAAGGCTTTGAATTTTTCTATTTTATTTTGTGGGTTTAGGATTGCTTCTAGAGTAAGAGCCTTATTTAGATTTAGGGTGGTTTGTAGTGTAGTTCGGTGTGTTAGGTAGTGGGTGCAGTGTATGAGTGCGTGTTCTGGGGTTTCTTGTTGTTTGCAATGTGGGCAGGTCCCTGTTGCGTGTTTTCTTATTATTTTGAGGAGGTTATTTAGGTTGGTATGTCCTGTTTGGAGTTTAGTAATTACTGAAATTTTTGGTTTGGTTAGGGGTTTTTGAGAACCTTTTTGATTTGGCTATTTGAGTTTTGATATAGGTTATGCCATTTTTTGGTGATTTTTTGTTTGTTAACACTTTTAATTTCTGATTTGGAGATTGGTAGGTTTAAGCTTATTTCTGGGATTTTAAGGGATAGTTTAGCTGCTTTATCGGCGTTTTCATTGCCATATATTCCTACGTGGGCGGGGATCCAAATGAATACTATTTGTTTGCCGGCCTTAGTTAAATCGTTTGAGCTTTTTAGTATCTGATTTATTAGTTCAGGGCGGTTTTTGGTGTTTTTATTTTGGAGGGCTTGTAGTCCACTGAGCGAGTCGGTAAGTATTAGGATTTTTTGTTGTTTTTTAGATTGTTGATTATGAAGGGCTGAGGCCATGCCCATTAGTTCGGCCGTGAATATTGATTGATTGTTTGGGAGTCGGTAGGATTATGTGGCTTTAGTTGGTTGTGTGATGTGGACTCCGAAACCTGTGTGTTTGGAGGTCGGATCTGAGGATCCGTCTGTGTAAATGTGACACCAATTTGGCCAATTTTCATGTATGTATGCTAGTGTGGTGGTTTTGGCTATGTTTGGGTCGGTTTGTTTATTTATTGTGCTAGGTAGTGTTATGTCTATTTTGGGTGTTTTAAGTTTTGGGGTGAAGATATTTGATTTTTTACAGTTTTGTTTAAGATTGTTTATTTGGTGTTCATTTAAGTAATTGGTTATTCTTTGGGATATTGGAGTAAGTAGAGGGTGTTTTCGAGCTAGGGCTTGGGTTTTTTGGCTTATATTTTTGTTTATTAGGCTTTGAATTAGGGGGTTGGATTGAGACGCGGCCCAGAAATTTAGGGTTAATTGTTCCCTACGTAGACTTAGTGGCATTTCTCCTGTTAAGGCCTGTAGTGAAGTGTAGGAGGTGCCATGTTGAGTGCGTGTTATTAGTTTTAGAGCCTGATATTGGATTGAGTCTAGTTTTTTGCTTATGGATTGGTTTAGGGTGTCGTATATGGCACATCCGTGGTCTATTTTAGATCTAATTAGTGATATATAGAGTGAGAGGAGGGTGTCTTTGGAGGCCCCCCAGTTTGAGCCAGTGAGGCATCTTAGCGTATTTAGATCTTTGCTACATTTAGTTATTAGATTATTTATGTGAGCGTCCAAGGAGAGATGTTCATCGAAAATTAGTCCTAAGAATTTGGTTTGTTTTAGGAATTGTTGTTTAGTTGGAGTTTTGGGGAGGCGGGTTTCATGTTTTTGTGTTTAAATACTATTCCTGTAGTTTTTTCCGAGTTAAGGGAAAAGCCCCATTTGTCAGCCCATTGCTGTATTTTGTTTAGAGATTTTTGGAGTAGGTTTTTGGCCATTTTAATGCTTTTTGTGCGGATCCAGATGGCTCCATCATCCGCGAATTTAGATGTGTTTATTTTAGGGGATAGGCCCTCGAATAGATCATTTATCATTATATTGAAGAGTGTGGGGCTGAGGATACTGCCCTGGGGAGTGCCATTTTCTAGGTGACATTGGTCCGATAGCGTTTGGTCTATACCCACGGTTATTTTACGATTGTTTAGGAAGTCTTGGATGTAGTTTATTATTTGACCTTTGAGTCCTATTTTTTTGTAGTTTTTGTATAAGCCCGTCGTGCCATACCATGTCGAAAGCTTTGGAGAAGTCTAAGAAGATGCCTGTAGTATATTGTTTGCTGAGTTGTCCTGTTTTAATGTCCTGCTCTAAACGGGCGAGGTTATCTAAGGTTGAGCGGCCAGGAGTGAAACCACTTTGATCTGGGTTTATGATGTTATTTTGAGTTAGGTAATGTTGTAGTCTGTTTTTAGCCATAGATTCCATTAATTTACATAAGTTTGAAGTTAAGGAAATTGGTCTATAGGAGTTAGCCTGATTAGCTGGTTTATTAGGTTTAGGGATTGGTATGACTAAGGCCTGTTTCAAGGGAGTAGGTACTTGTCCGTTTTGATAGATGAGATTGCATAATTTAAG